AATTGCGCAGTCATACAACACTGCACAGTCTTTTCATACATTTAAGCCATACTTTGTTTTGATGCTAAAATGTTGGCCCAACCAACAGCCAGTGTGGGAATAAATCTGTTCGCTTCCACAAATATGGTCCCCAACCCAGTATAAATGATCATGAAAACTGCAGTTCTATTTAATTATTTAACAGGGATTGAGTGTGCCTTTTTGTCAGTTGATGCCAAGCAGACATTTATCAGCAAGTATATCGATACTTCATGAAGTCGCATGAAACATCCAGAAGGGTTCAAATGTCATTGGCAAATCATGTCACTCTACAAAATGTCCTACATTACTGAAGTCACAGTTAAATCAATCCTAATGGCGACATGAGAAGTCCAAAATGGCACCAGAAAATGTGTCCCCAAGCTCTGCTAAATATTTTTCTGTACATTTATTTACAACAAAACCAAAGCACAAAAAACCTCTCTACCTTTTTGTTTTTTCAATTTCAATATGTTGATACTTTTAAGCTTATGTAGTGTTTTGCAAAGTAAAGGGGTCATCATTCTGAATGTGTTTATCACCAAGTACCGCAAACAAAATTAAGCTCTCTTGGGGTGACATACTGTCATACTGACATATAAGCTTGGAAGTATCACCATATTGAAATTGAAAAAAGATTTATGGAGGATGTCCAAACAGTAGCAAAAGTCCCATGGAAGAATTTTTTTTTCCAAATAATAAGTACAGCCACAACTGCCCACACTTTACCTAAATCCTAGGGTGGAAGAGGCCCAATTTAAAGACCTAACACATCAAGCAGGGTATACATGAGATTGCCAGGCTGGTTTCTCTTAAAGGCATTTGGTAATTCTGGAGAGTCCCTTCATCTCTGAGGAGGATGAAGATACCTGAAAAGCCAAGCCTAATCTCTCTTTGTTCATTGCTATATACTGTATGTGCCAATATGGGAGCTCTGTTAAACTAGTAGAGAGTTAGAGATCACACTTTGCAGAGGGGCCTTAACATAGTGGTGTGGCTGCACATATGTGTGCTAAAGTATGTATCCAAAAACCTGTGTTTAATGATAATTGTTGAACAGTTTACATGGGTTTTCTTTGGCTGGCTTTCTGGTAAGTGTGCTGAAACTTTTTCATCCTGTTCTACTAGAAACAAAATCTATCACGGTTACTATACTTCTATGTATATTATGTAATTACATCCATCTGCCCTAATCAGGACAGTGCTGCTCATGAGATTAGTTAAAGCAGCACACATGGAGACATGGTTGGGTGTGTGTGTGGGGGGGTAGCCTCACTGAGGCTGCAGGATACTAGACCCTCCATCCTCGGTGCAGCTCAGTAACGCTAAGTCTGGTAATACCACACGCTCAGCGTTACTAAGCTCCCCACTCGGCAGCTGCACCTGTCACACAAAAATGTGTGGTCGCTTTAGGCAGCATCTACCCCCCAGCACAAGTCACTTGTTCTCAGTCTGAATTTACACCAAAAACCTCCTGTCCATAATGTGCATCCTAAGTTGCTAGTCCATTCAATAGGAGCAAAATAAAACAAATATGTTCAACACTGCTCTGGTCTAGGGGAAGCAACGCTAAAAAATACAAGGCTGACTATTTTGGCAGATTAAGTAGCATTAGGTCAATCAACTTTCTGAGGGGCAAAAAACAGCTTTGTAATATCTAGTCAGATATGGATTACAGCTGCTCAATAACAACATCTGTTAAAGTATAGCCACATCAATTGCTCTTTGTGCACTTTGGGTTTTAGGCTAAGCTGCCAAAATGAGGGCATTTGTGCAATGACATGATAAACATTATGGTCAGATTGTAGAGTACTGTATTTATTCTTTTTGCCCGCAAATGCAGAAAACACAAAACTTTACTGTAATCACCAGATCAGTACCAATGGGCTACCCAACATATTGAGAAGGTATATGCCAGCTAGATGTAATTAAACCAGCAGACGAGTTGGGTTGCGTATAGGTTACTATACAATTCCCCTCTTTTTTGCAGTATTCTGAGTGTGTGGTGGTTAATAATGCTGAGTCTAACTTCTAGGGTGCAGGTACATAGGGGAGTAATGCTTTTCCATGTATAGTCTGTACTGGGCCAACTTACATCAATGGTCACAAATCCCAGTGCAGGGGAGGCACAAAAAAGTGTTATTCCACTTATATCTACCCCAAACACAAGCAAAATTTCAATAAGGTCTACCCCCAACATAAACATAATTCCATTAAGTACCCCAACTCAAACCTAATTACACTAAGGTGCATCTCCAACACAATAATAATTCCACCAAGCTCTACTCCCAAACACAAACATATTTCCACTAAAGCCTACCCCCAACACAAACATATTTCCACTAAGGCCTACCCCCAACACAAATACCACTAAGTTCACCCCCAACAAAAGCATAACCACTAAACAACAAAAGTATCCACTAAGTTCTACCCTCTAACACAAACAAAATTCTACTAACCCCCCCCAACACAAGCATAATTCCACTAAGGTCTACCCCCAACAAAAGTATTTTCCATTAAGTTCTACCTTCAACACAAACATAATTTCACTAAGGTCTACCCCCAACACAAGCATAATTCCACTAAGGTCTACCCCCAACAAAAGTATTTTCCATTACGTTCTACCTTCAACACAAACATAATTCCACTAAGGTCTACCCTCAAAAAAAGTATAATTCCACCAAGTTCTACCCTCAACACAAACATAATTCCACAAAGATCTACCCCAACAAAAACATCATTCCACTAAGTCCTACCCCAAACAAATGCATAATTCCACCAAGTTCTACCCCCAACAAAAGCATAATTCCACTACATTCTACTCCAATAAAAACATAATTCCACTAAGGTCTATTCCAAACAAAAGTACAATTTCATTAAGTTCTACCCTCAACACAAGTACAATTCTACTACGGTCTACCCCCAACAAAAGTATAATTCCACCAGGATCTACCCCCAACAAAAGCATAATTCCACCAAGTCCTACCCTCAACAAAAGCATAATTCCACTACATTCTATCCCAATAAAATTATAATTCCACTAAGGTCTATTCCAAACAAAAGTACAATTCCATTAAGTTCTACCCTCAACACAAGTATAATTCTACTAAGGTCTACCCCCAACAAAAGCATAATTCCACTAAGGTCTACCACAACAAAAGTATAATTCCACAAGAATCTACCTCCAACAAAAGCATCATTCCACCAAGTCCTACCCCCAACAAAAAGCATCATTCCACTAAGTTCTACCCCCAACAAAAGCATCATTCCACTAAGTTCACCCCCAACAAAAGCATCATTCCAGTAAGTTCTACCCCCAACAAAAGCACAATTCCATTAGGGTCTACCCCCTACAAGCTTTACTATGCAGCTCTGCATGAAAAGTCTAGGAAAGTGCCACCACCTGCACACTAAAAAGGCATATTGAAACTGCAGACTGGAAGTTCTCTCAGCAAACTGGCAATCTTTGGTAGACCCTCTCTGTAACTGGCAATCTCATTCTGTAACTGTGCGGCAGTCTCTCTGTAACTAAGATGTCTATTACAACATACAACAGTCTCTGTAATAAGGCAACTTGTTTCTGTAACATATTAGTGGAAAAATGATAATGCAGATTCACAGTTTATAATCTACGTTAAAAAAAAGAACAACAATTCCATTCACCAAATAAGCTGTAAACGTAAATGCAGTTATTTGAAACGAGAATATATTAATTCTAATCTTTAGTCCTCATGCACACTGGACGTTTTTACAGCTGCTGTTTTTGGCTTTTGACGGTTTTTTTTCTACAGCCAGTAAATTTCCCAGCATGTTATCCTATGTGTCTATGCACACATAGACTGTAATCAACATTTTTTGGCAGGAGAATTTTTTGGCTAGAAAAAAAAAACAGAACTAGAGGGTTTCTAGAAGAGTTTTTTAGCTGTACAAACGCTCTAGAGCTGAAAAACGCGGCAAATCACAGCAAACCAATGTTTTTTGGACTTTTTTTTTACCAAAAAATGTTTCCACTGTTTTGCTCAGCTCACAAACATACAGGAGGGTAAAGTACAAGGATAATCTAATTTGCTGCAACCCCATTGTTCAATCCAGGCCCTGAACTAGGCAGTATTGCTTAGCTGCAGTATCATCTGCTGCGGTTTGATGACCTGGTTCAGCTGTTTGGCAGGAGTATCTAGATTGCAGGACTTGACTGAGAAGCGTTAGAAATCCTTACTGACAATAGGGCTGCTCATGCATCATTTAGTTAAGGTAGCCCAATTTTTATATGTATGTGTGGCATTAATTACTAAACATGATTAAAAAAACACTGACAAATAAAGCCATCTCCAATGACACATTTTTTCACATGGACCGAAATAAAATCTCCCAAAGCAAGCTAAGTGCAATGTTTCCTAATACCTTCATACTATTTTTTACAGTGCAGAAAATATATACTATACATCTGTTCTGGGCATGATATCACCAGTATGTACAATCAAATCCAAATGCCATTGTAGGAACCCACATAAAGGCTTTTTAATACATCAGTGCAAAGAACAATGACAACGTGCAAAGTCCAGTAACCCACAGCAGTCAACCACATCACACCTTTACCTAGCTGAGGTCGGGGTTTCTCGGACCTGTCCCGTGGAATTACAGCTCATGTTTTTATCTGACCTTTTCATGGAATCACATGTATAATGATTGCAGATCTTCTTTTCAGCTTGGATTATTAATGAGTACGTTTGCAAAACATGACCTGAAGAAAGGTTTGATAAGCACTGGTTTAGGTTAACCAGAGCAATGGTAGATGACTGCCGATTGCTTACTATAGGTTACTGTCCTCTGCTCCTAGCCGTATTTACTGTAATATGTCTAACAGTACCAGATGCTCAGTTATGCTGGAACTATGAACATATAAAGTAGGAACAGTGCATACTTCCTTAATATCACAAACATATAACTTGAGAAACAATGTATGCCACCAACCCTTCGCTGGTTCACACAGCAATCTCATCATCCAGACTGTCTCCCAGCATGTCTCTATGTAACACATGGGCCAACCTTCCACCATCGTCCTGCCAGGACTCCCTTTCCTCACTCTCATCTGTGTTGGACTCGTATTCGGATGCTATGCCAGACTCTCTGAATCTGTACAGCTCCAGACTACCCAGCAGTTCCCCTGATCCCTCCCCCTCGCCAGGCACAAAGCGATAACACTGCACCTTCACTAGGCAGTCTGTCCTACCTAGAGGGCTACCCAGCTGAAATGAAGAATCTGGATCTGTCAGTGGGGGGAAATCTTCAGGCTGAGGGGTTGTTGCATCACAAATCACCGACAAAACACTGGGACGGAAAGTAATTTCCAGGAGACTGTCCTGAGATCCCACTGCAAAAGACAGAACGGAAAAAAATCATCACTCAGACATTTTAACCTGTGAAATATTATCTGCTTATTTGTGCAAGCAGAACACTATGACCTAATTCACATGTTCCCGGCTCACAGGCAAAATGTACTGCTCTTTAGCAGACATACAGGGGTGCCATTAATTCTTAATGGCACCCTCAAGCATTGGCAAATGTGGCGTGTTTTCACGTGTGCCAAATCACTTGGTGCTGCAGCATCATTCCACTTGGTGTGGCATGATTAAAAAAAAAAAAAAAAAAAAAAGTCAGGGACTTCTTTCACCACGTTTCTCATGGGTACGACAACCAAATCAAAGGAATGGGTTGCTGTACCCATGACGTGTGCGCTCAAGGGCATCACACATATGTGAACCTAGTCTTAGTTTACACCTGTGCTGCTCTTTGGAAAGAAATTTTCGGTGGATCACTTTTCAGAGAGTGATATAGGTGCAACTGACAGGCATTCAGGAGGCAGCACAGGCCAGGTATAATTTTTGCATGCCTCAAAAGCAAAGGATCGTGGTCATGGCATGTATACAACTCCGTCTAGCTGCCTAAGGGGACAGATAAAAACTGCTGGTCAACCACATTTTTTTTTTAGCGAGAGCCTCGATGACACCACTGTACATAGCGTAAATAAAAAAAATTAAAAAAAATCCAAAAGGGATTTAAGTGACTTTTGGGGTTTTTATCTCCCCAGCTTCCACTCAAATACCCAGAAAAAATGAGGAAGGGTTGTAACAGTGCAAACACTGCAAAGTCCTGGGAAATGGTAGTATGGGGTGATCGTGGTATTAGTGGCTACTGTATGAAGAGCGTAGGATTCTGTGTGGCACTGAGGGCAAGGCTTCCAAATAAGCTGTAGCAACCTCTGTAGATGAGAAAAGGAGAGAAGCGCAATAAGTCTTTTTATTCAAGTCTAAATGTAGAAACACTCACATGGGTGAAGTAATCATAAGCTTAAAAACCCGTGGTTAAAAACCGTGTTAACCACGATTTTTAAGCTTATGATTACTTCACCCATGTGAGTGTTTCTACATTTAGACTTGAATAAAAAGACTTATTGCACTTAGAGGCGCTTCTCTCCTTTTCTCATCCACTCAAATACCCAGCTTGAGGGTATTAACTAATTAAGAGTTGAGCAGCTGAAGTTCTTGATTGTAAAAAAAAAATTAGGCATAGGTTAAAAGAGAAGTGTAGGATATGACAAACACACATACTCACCTAGGTGGATGTAGAATTAATCTGATGCTGCATCTGCCCCCCGCCACCTCTACACTGAGAACTGAGTCATCAAAGACCGCTGACTGCACAGTTCTCAGTTAGCAGAGAGACGGTGACTGTCAGTCACCTGCTCCCTGCTCTGCCCCTCCAGCAAAAACTGTGGAGGGGATGGGAGCGACTGCCTTAAGCTCTCAGAGGCTTGCTGAGCCAGCTGCTGGTCCAAGCATCTGGGTGGATCCTGACATTAAAGTCAGGATCTTTCCAGAGCCTGGACTGGAATTTTGACGTCAGCTGACATTGAGCTATCAACTTAATAAGAGTCATAGGAGTGCAGAACGAAGGTGTTCTGCACTCCTGGGATCACCAAAAGTATAGCCAAAAGAGCTGCACAGCTGGACACGGGGCAATATTGTTTCTATAATTTTAATACAAATTGTAGTGTGATGATATTATTGTATAACAACATGTAACAATGGGGATATCCATATTTCCGCACTCTTAATCTTCATAGCAAATGAGAATATAAATGGTTCCTGTATCCTGCCAATATCTCAGGGAATACATACTAGCATTTTTTCCAGACAGTTTGAACTCCAGTTCTTGCACCTGCTTCACTAGAAGGGAGATGTGCTGCAACAGATCCTTATTCTGCAGCAGAAGCTGGTGGACTCTGGCCTGAGACTCCAACCTGGCAGCTGCCTCGGCAGCCAACTGGTCCTTTAGCAAATGTACCTGGTGAAAATAAAATGATGTTCAGACTAGTAAAGGTTATGTACATGGACTTCTGCCACACAAGCACTCCTACTTCTTCCTAATCTCACCTGAGCCACAGCCACTTGTGTTTGCTGCTGTTGCTGCTGCAGTTGCTGTTGAAGGAACTGTAATTGATGGTGGACAGACAGCGGAGTCCCAGGGGATAGCTGACTTCCGGAGGGTAGTAACATCTTAGGTGAAGCAGTAATCATCTGATCCTATAGGGAAGCCAAATTATAGAGAACAGCCAAAGGAAACACAAGTCATTGCGCAGGTAATATCTGACCCTGAATACAACTTACTGTTTACAGCAAGACAAAACGATTTTAAAACAAAAAGTTCTATGAAATTACAATGAGGCACTGCTTCATTCATTCCCTACTTCTGCTGGAATAGAGACCAGTTGGTCTGTCTCTTCACAGTCTAGAACCGATTCCCATGTGAGTCAGAGGAAAGCTCTAATAAAGGCAGATCAGCTGAGTCTCATGGACTGAGACTGGAGGAGAAGCAGCTATGCTTAATACTCTGATAAATACAATTTTGAACAGTTTTCCATAATAATAAAGGCAGCTTTACTTTTTTTTTTTTTTACGTCTGCCTAAAAATATGTAGTTTAAAATCAACTTGCAGGCTTGGTAAAGCTGCTGCAGGTAATGCAAAATAGTTAATATAATTGGATAGCGTATGCTTGCCAAGATGCAAATTAGCACCACCAGTTCGACACAATGCATTTGAGATATTACTCCCTTCGGCACTCTGTATTTTCTCAATTAAGATGGGCACCAGCTCTGACAGGAAGGATATGAAGATGGGATCTGTATCCAGGTAGTTTGTTGCCTATTCACAGGAAATTCAGTGTGCCTCTCCATCGTTCCTCTAGGAGAAAGTGTCCAACTATTGTAACTCTTAATCAGAGTTTATATGTACAGATGGAAAAATAGAGTTTGGCATCTAGATTAAAAACAGGCTGGAGTTTTGATCTTGTAGGGCATAGCTTTAAGTAAAGGAAATAGACACTTTAATTTGTTCACTTACAAGCCATTTCATGTATATGTGGCAGCATTCCAACTGTCAGCACAAAGAGTTTCAATTCAAAAGGCTAGAGCAGGGGGTCTCGAAACTTTCTAAAGAAAGGGCCAGTTTACTGTCCTTCAGACTTAAGGGGGGGGGGGGGCGGACTGTGGCCACTGGGAGTTGAAAGAGTCTTGACATCAGTGGGAATAAACAATGTCCCAAGGATAGCTTCTCATTGTTGGTGTCAGTGGGAGGAATTGTGCCCCATTCTTGGTGTCATTGGGAGGAATAGTGCCCCATTTTTGGCATTATTGGCAAGAATTGTGCCCCATTGTTGCAGTCATTGGGAGGAATTCTGCCCCTTCATTGGTTTCAGTGGGGGGAATTATGCCCCATTGCTGGTATCAGTGGATGAAAATAGTGCCCCAAGGGCCAGAAAAAAAACTATTAAAGGGCCACATCTATTAAAGGGCCCTCGGGATGCAGTTCAGAGTCCACTGTGCTAGGGGACAGTAGGTTTTGCTTACAGCCACAAGAATGAAATTGCTACTTATATTGGCCCTCTAGGAATACAGTATAGATAGGCAGTGCTATGATATCAAGATATATGGATGGCAAGGAGTCACTGGGGTCCTGGGGTGTCCCTAGAGTTGCTGTCACCCGGTGCGGTAACACTTGGTGACACCCTCTCCGACGATCCCTGCAGAATGGATCGGATCTGCAGATTGAACATAATAGATCGGAGTCCGATCCGTTATCCTCCCAATCTGCAGATCCGATGCATCCTGCGGGGATCGTCAGCATGCAACCTATACGGGTTAACTGATCTCTCCACAAAAAATAGGTACGTTTTAAAACAAGCCGACGATCCCGATCCACAGGATGGATCGGATCTGCGGATTGGGAAGCAAAATGGATCGGTCTAATGGATCGGCTTTACAACTTACCTTTTCATGGAGCGGGTCCAGTGTCACCATGTATAGGTGGCATGCTGACGATCCCCGCAGGATGGATCGGATCTGCGCATTGGGGAGGATAATGGATTGGACTCCGATCCATTATGCTCAATCTGCAGATTCGATCCATCCTGCGGGTTTGTCGGCTTGCTTTACAACTTACCTTTTTGTGGAGCGGGTCCGGTGTCACCCCGTGCGGTCGGTGTCACCCGGTGCGGAGCACACCCCCCACACCTGCCTAGGGACTCCCCTGCTGGGGTCATCTGACTCTAAATAAAGGGCACCATTTTTGCTACTTGTATATTTTAATAATAAAAGCACTGCATGATAAACATGCATAGTAAGACAGCTGCAGAGATAATTATCCTACAGAAGGACAACAATACTGAGCCATCCTTGCTGCTCTCTTATTCTTTTCCATAGTCACGTTCTGCTACAAGTATTATTTGATGCTGCATGTTCATGGGCCACTCAACACTGATTGTCTACGTCTCAGCAATCAAAGACCTCCCCAGTGTCTCCTACTTGTAACAAATCCTCCTTGTGAAAGTTCAAGCATGGTAGTAACCAGAACTAAAAATCTATCGGTACAATCATGAAAACATATAAATCAGCACAGAGAACCACAATATCTACCTGTTCCTTCTTTTTCCTCAGTACGATCACTCTCTCCATTTACAGCGTCCAGATCAGTCACTCCGCGGTTGAATTTTGGAGCCTGTCCTCCAGGCAAAGGACTGTCCAGAGCATCAATGTCAGTCTCATCAGCATTGTGATCTATACTGGCAACTATTTGTGTCACTGAAAATCAAGCAAAAGAAGATAACAGCAAAGAAATGTTATGAGGATATCCACAGCCTGATGGTTACAAGAGATGTGATAGATTCTTATACTGCAACAGTCAGGCGATGACTGGTCTTTTAGGGAATAACTAGACGCCAATTATTTACTTATTATTTATTTCAGGTACTTATATAGGGCTGTCAATCTACAGTTATTGTGCATTCACATCAGTCCCTAACCCTCAAGGAGCGTACAATCTAAGGTCCCTAACTCACATTCATACATACACATAATAGGGACAATTTAGACATGAACCAATTCACCTACCGGCATGTCTTTGGAGTGTGGGAGGAAACCAGAGTTCCCGGAGGAAACCCACGCAGGCACAGGGAGAACATGCAAACTCCAGGCAGGTGGTGCCGTGGTTGGGATTTGAACCAATGACCCTAGTACTGCCAGGCGGAAATGCTAACCACTTAGTCACTGTGCTGCCCAATTATGCATGTCTTTAGGTGTCAAAAGCCTCGGAAAATCTCTGCATAAACAAATGCTGGGCACTTCCTTTCTATTGTGGAAAGGAGATAACCATCACAATAATCTTCATCCACTGGAGGAGACTGCAGCATATTAGACTGGGCAAAGGTCTCATCGGCCATCTAAAGATCTAGCTAATTAAAAAGCTACAGAAGCACAGCATATTCATGCTAAACAGAGCAATTCCGTATTACAGGATTATATTTTTACATCAGGCTTAACCCAGGTACAAAAGTGGGTTAAACAAAAAAGAAAAAAAGTCAGATCGCTGTACCAACACAAGCTTTGTTGGTGTGGCAATCCCTCTCACTGTACTATTGTATTCTGACATGGAAATTACACCCACCCCCCTTCCCCTTGCCAGAATACACTGATCAACACTAACAGCCATTGGCTGAGAGCACTGATCAGTGTATTCCAGTGGAGGAGTCCCTCTGTCAGAATAAAATAGCACAGCAAGGTATATTGCCACACCAACATCGCTTGTGTGGGTATGGTGATCTGTCAGTTTTTTTTCCTAAAACCCGCTGGGACAAATGAAAAAAAAAAAAAAAAAAAAACTTCCAATGTGTACTGGGCTTAGCCTTTATTAAACATTTTACAAGAGAGGAACTGTGACAGGAGTCATTTTGGGTGGGGGGGCCCATGGAACACAGCCCCCCTTACAGAGGTGCGGAGACCCCTGTCTCAGCTCCCCATATCCCTCTTATGTGTAAGTCACCCTGTGCCTGTTAGGGGTACAGGGTGGAATGTCCTGCTATTGTGTAGACATGTATGGTGGGGGTTGTTCATTGTTTAATGCCATGTGGTTGTCCCATTGTTCTACTGTGTGTCTTGCTTGGGAGCAAACTATTATGGGATGTATGTGTTTGTGTATTGGCTTGGTGGGGGGTGTCTGCTGTGTGTCTCTTGTTACTAAATGTATTGCCCCGCCCTGTGTCCTTATGCAGGGAGGTGGGTTGTTCTCTTGAATGTTTATATCTTATGTCTGTGTTAAAATAAGGCAGCCTCTCTCTTGGTTTCCTTCAAGTCTGGTGCTGTCTCGTCTTGCGTGGTCAGCGGTGGTATCCATGGATCTGTGTTCGGACAAGGAAGAGGGAGTCTAACGGAAATACCCTAGTGCAGTCTGGGTCCGATTCCGTTACAGGAACCTTTGAAATAATTGTTGGATCTTAAAAACTCTGCTAAAAATGTTTCTATCTGCAGCTCATAGTATATTTAATACCTACAGTGAACATTATTTTCAGTAATAATCATAAAATGACACAAATAATAAAATTAGCCAGAAAAAAACAGACTGTGAACATTGTGTTGTTCTCTTATACTAGTGGTCAGTTGAGAAGTGCCCCATTGAGACGTGCCCCCTTATACTGGTGGTCAGTGGGGAAATGTCCCCTTATACTGGTGGCCAGTGTAAATAAGAGATTCCTCTACCATTGCTCATGGAACCTCTGGCAACCTCTGGAGGAAGCCTAAGGTTCCACAAAGCCTTGGCTGAGAAAGACTGCCTTTGATATTTTTCCTTCAACATCTGCCTGGATGTCTCCTTTAAGTATCGGTGATAATAAAGCCTTTGGGGTTAATCATTATTAGCATCCATCCTTGCTCACCTGGAATCCCAGAGTCATCAGTGCTCTTCTCGCTATCAATATCCTCTCGTCCATCCCCAGCCTGCTCTGTGTGCTGCAAACTCAGCTTGTGACACACTTCGAAGGCTTGTCCCACAGTCCGCACTACCCGCATGGCATGGCTCTGTTTAAAGTAACAATGTCAACAGGAATATTGAAAGATTGATAACTGTAGCTCTGAACACAGACATTTACCAGCAGGTTGATCTTAACACTGAAATTTAAAGTGCATTTAAATCCAAAAAAACAAAAATGTAACAAGATGCAGTGGCTGAATTGGTTTTCTCTTTTCATTTTTCCCCTTGATTTTCAACTTGTGATTCTGCCAAAACACCCTTCCTGTCTTAGGATGACAACCCCTACTCAAAGCCTTGTATGTATAAAGCAGCAGTGTTGTCACCTTAGGCTGCTTTCCTGATTTGGACTACAAACGCCTTCCTTCTCATCAACCTAATTACATAGAGGGGAGATGCTTTGTAGTTTAAAGAAGATAGCTAAGGAAGCTGAAGTTATAGTAAGGACACAATTTCTGATATGAGAATTGTGTATTCTTGTACAGAATATACTACAAAATCAATGCTGTTGCCACATCTAACAGCTTATGAAATGCAGCATATGCAATTTTTTGCTCTCGGGTTTAGATATACCTTAAAGAAGGTAAAAAACCTTCTGTGTGCAGCAGTGACCCCAGCCCCCCCCCCCCCCCAAATTGTTACCTGAGCCTCATCGCGATCCAGCGATGAGAATGACAGCCTCATCTGTCATGGGTCTCTGCCTCCTCATTGACTGAGACAGCAAGCGGGAGCCATTGGCTCCTGCTGCTGTCAATCACAGTCAGTCAGCCAATGAGGAGAGGGGGAGGGGCTAAGTCGTGGCTCCGTTTGTGACTGGATACATGGAGCAGCAGGTGCCCCCATAGCAAGCTGCTTGCTGTGGGGGCACCCGACAGACAGGAGGAGCCAGGAGAGCCTGCAGGGGACCCCAAGAAGAAGATGATCCAGGCTGCTGCACACAGCAGGTAAGTATACACGTTTGTTACTGTACACAAAAAAAAGAACCTTTACAGTCACTTTAAGCTATGGTAAAACATGCCACGTTAACCGCTTCCCCCCTCCGCCCTATAGCAGAAATACTGCTACAGGGCAAAACGGGTGTGCAAAATCAAGTATATGTATGCGATTTTGTAGATCCGCCTTTTGTGGCCTCGACTGTCAATCACGGGGTCCCGGCCGGTAATTACTCGCCGGGCACCCAGTGATTGCTGAGTATTACCAACAGGGGAAAGAACTGTATGTAAACAATACAGTTCTCTCCCCTGTCAGCTCCTGCACACTGTTTTGTAGCACACACAGCACATAATGGGAAACAGCACACAGTTAACCCTTTTGATTGCCCCACGTTAACCCCTTCCTGCCCAGTGCCATTAGTACAGTGTCAGTGCTTTTTATTAGCACTGATCACCTTATTGGTGTCACTGGGGATGTCAGTGAGACCAAGTCAGTTCCCCCCAGTGTCAGAATGCCCACCGCAGTCACGCTATAAGTCGCTGATCGCCGCCATTACTAGTAAAAAAAAAAACAAAACCATAAACCAATTAATTTAAACGTATTGTGATTTTTTTTTAGCAAAGACATGTACCAGAATACATTTTTTCCCCTAAATTTATGACGAAGTTTGATTTTTAAAATTATTTTATTGAGTGTGCTTAATAGCAATAAGTCAAAAATATTGTTTTTTCTCTCAAAACTGTCGGTCTATTTTTTGTTTATAGTGCAAAAAATAAGACGTACAGGCAATCAAATACCATCAAAAGAAAGCTCTATTTGTGGGGAAAAAAGGCTGTAAATTTAATTTGGGTGCAGCGTTGCATGACCGCGCGCAATTGTCAGTTAACCTCTTGGCACCACCTGGCCCTTTAAGAGTTTCAGAAGCTGGGAGGCGGGGCAGGGTTTCAGGGTCATGTGACCACCATGATTCGCTGTCACGGCTCTCATCACATGTATTTTTTAATTGCACGCAAATATGCACCCGCTCGGCATCAAGGCCCAGACACCGAGAGGCTGCATATATGTGTGCGATTGACGTCAAGGGGTTAAAGTAATGCAGCGTCGTAATGCAAAAAATTGCCTGGTCAGAAAGGGGGGTAAATCCTCTGGAGGGCAAGTGGTTAAATGAAAAGTGTTTTGTATTTTCCTACAAAGCATATTTGGAGTTGTAACCGCAAGGCGTACAGTAGTTGCAATGTAATTTTTTTAATATAGCTTTTATATTCCTACAAGCTTACTCTTCCATATTTTGGTGCTGTATTAAATAAAGAGATTTGTAGAATAACCACTATTATTATTATACAGGATTTATATAGCGCCAACAGTTTGCGCAGCGCTTTACAAAATGAACCACTAGATGGAGCTTTCAGCAGCTTAGTGCAATTACAACTGATGAAATTAGGCCTGGCAACCATGCTAACTGATATCAGTCTGCACAAAAATGATCAGCTCACAAGATTTCGGTCAGGATCAGTCAGTGTTTTCTCCACTTACTGAACAGATATAACAAAACGATTTCAATAGAAAATTTTAATTAGAATTCCATATCTAATATGACTTTGAATTGTTTGTTTGGGACAAGCTGGCCCAAGCGAGCTATTTCCATTACTAATGGATGTGGGTGCTGTGTGTGCTTTAATACAATGTAGTGGCATCAGCTACATACAGTAAGTGGTGCTTTGTCCTGCAACAATACAGGCAAATTCCCATCTGCTGCCTGAACTAAATTTAGTCGACCTGAAGCCAAAATCGGCTCTGGATGGGGTGCTTCTTAATGTTAATTCTCCTAAGCTTGACCATGTATGGGACCACTGGAGGGTTGTTATTCTGACCTTGGACATAGAGGACTGTGTGGAAAAGGGTCCTAAGTTGGTCATTTCTTCTAGAGATAAAATGATTCAGGTCGTGTGCAGCCGGGGTCCTTTTTTCATATGTTTTGGTCATGCCCCGTAATTCTGTCCTATTGGTCTGAGATTTTTGCTGAGATTAACCTCAGCCCATGAATGCCCAATAGGGCCCGAGTTGGCCCTATTGGGCATTCATAAGGATGAACGGCGATCCCATCATGCTAAGCTTCTTATATCTTACCTTCTGTTTTATGCTAAAAAAGAGATCTTGTTTACATGGACCTCCCCGGCTCCTCCGGAGTTCTTGGCTTGGGAGGCGCTGGTGGACGCCGCTTTACACATGTATAGGCTTATGTACATTAATCAGGGTTGTCCTTGGCAAGGTGTGGGCTCCATGGTTCTTTGGGTAGTGCTTTTTCTCCTCTTCCCCTATGCCCCTCCCCTTTTTTCTTTTACCTCCTCCTCTTCCCCCCCCCCCCCCCCCCCCCCATTGATTTTGGTTGTTGTATGTGTTTTTTTTTTTTTATACTATGCTCATGTGTGACATCCTATTCGGATTTATTATTCCTTTTTTGAGACTGCACTATATGGATGAACGGTGTTTATCTATTGTCTCCTTCGATTCATTCCGCTGTACATCGTGTATCGTACTGTATCATGTTGTTGTGTACTAATGTTGAACTATCTGTTTAGTCAATAAAGCACTCCGTTGATGTTAAAAAAAAAATTAGTAGACCTGAAAGTTTCTCAGCCATTTAGAAGAAGCCTTGGATCATTTAATACAAGGCTTCCTCTAATTGGCCAAGGAGCAAATTGTGACGTCATCTGGCTGCTTCTCCTCCTTGGCTATGTTAAAACAGTCGCCACAATATTTCCAATCAAAAGACACATTATAACAGGGGTGTCAAAGTGGTGGCCCTCCAGCTGTTGCGAAACTCTGCCTCTGCCTTTGGGAGTCATGCTTGTAACTGTCAATCTTGCAATGCTTCATGGGACTTGTAGTTTGGAGACAGCTGGAGGGCCGCCAGTTTGACACCCGTGCATTATAAAATTAAAATGCATAGAAAGAAAAACAGGAATAGATAGCACAGAAAAAGTACTAAAAGTGTGTAAAAGGGTAAAAGAAAAAAAGGCAAACTATTTCAGTCAGTATAATGAACATACTATATACAGTCAGTATAATGAACATACTTCCTTTCTTGGCCTGTGCCCTGCTTGTATATAGTACCATGTGCCAGTCACATGATGCTACACAGTGCACCTTGGTCAATCATATCACTAGCCCTGGACCCAGCACAGATTAAGGAGAGGCATCTCTTGACTAAGGGTAGTTATACATATAGATTGTTCTTGTTCAGCTTGCAGGCTATTGCACCCCCCCGCAGATATTGTATTTGGCAATTAGTGCGACCTGCGTAAACCACTTGCTCCTTCATCCAAAAGTAAAATCTGTCAAGTTGTTTGGTCCCGACAGGCCACTTACAGCTCTAAATCTGGCTGAAATTCAAGGCATGTATGGCTGGCTTAAGTACCAAGGGGCCAAGTTGGGAATCAGCGCTGTAGTAAGTAAAGGAGACTGAGATGACAAATGAAACAGGATTATAACTTAGGTTTGGGGTACAAAGTAAAAGGATCATAAAGAACCAAAAATATGCCATAAAAAAACATTTATTCTGTAAAAAGAAAACAAAACACAAAAAAAAAAACACACCTTATATAAGTGTGCAGACTGCAGAGAGGGGTATTCACCAGGTGAAGTATGCCTGCTATGCTGCTGAAATCCGTACAGCGTCTGGAAAGCTTACAAGGTCATGTAGAAGGCATGTACTTCACAATGGAGGAAAACCGAGCACAGAGCATGAAAGCAAATATTGTACAATACGGCTGAAGAAAAACCTTTCACTTTTCTATGTTTCTACAAGTCTGATGCAATTTCAGTATTGTGACTAGTATGTATTGTTACCTGTCCACCTGCATAGTACAGGATGTGATGGCCCTTTTGTAGAATATAGAGGAAGTTTTAGGCTCCATGCAAACTAGCGCTTTCTTTTTAAGCTCAGAAAACGCTGGTAGTAGCGTTTAGGAGCATTAGCGTTTTATAAGCATTTTTACAGTACATGTAGAGGAAAATAAAAAAAAAGCTAGAAAAAACTGTTAGGAGCTGCTTAGAGGCATTTAGCATTTTTTTTTTATCCACTGGAAAAATGATCCAAAAACTATTTCTAGACACT